ATCTAGTGTAAGATAACTTTATTCTGTAAGAATGTAATTTTTAAAAATTAACGAGGGGCTAGCGAGATGTAGTGCTCTTTCAAAGGATTAGAGTTCAATTCCCAGCACCCACACCAGGCAGCTCACAGTCACCTATAACTGCAGCTCCAGGGGAATCAGAGGCCAGAAGCACTTGCAATCAATCACATGCAGTTATCCACACACAGACACACACATACAAATAATTAAAAATGATATTAAAATTAGAAAAATTAAAAACAAAGATAACCACCTTTTGGAAGGCTTTAGAGAAGAGATGGAATTTGTCTTCTCCAGATAGAGAGCAAAGGCAGGAGACACCATGCCTGAGCTTGTTAACTGCCTTCGGCAGCTGATGTGTCATGGGCTGTCATTCACTTAGACTGTGATGTCACACAAAGCACCCACATGACTTCGCAGCAGGCAAGGCCAAATGGTCTCCGAAACAGCTTCATGATTTAAAGTATAAAGATGATCTCAACAGAAATACACGCCCACAGTTGGTGCTGCATTTTTGAGCCCTATAAACAGTAACTGTAGTTGTATCTCTCCAAGTCTTAAATAAATGAAACACACAGAAACGTGAGAATTTGCTGATGGAGTCGTGATAGGGAACAAGATGATGCCGTCAGACATCAAATGAAACACGAGCTCGGCTGATCTGCCTGGTCATTCTTAACCAATTAAATGCATCCTTCTGCCTTTTGGAAATGAAGAGAAATTTCCAAACTTTCATGGGAGAATTTGATTCCTGGTCCTGCGTTCAAATACCAGTTAGGTTTAATCAAATATTATTTGATTAACTTAATTATTTGCTTAACTCAGGGAAGTTATAGACGTCAAAAGAGAAAACTTCTGGAGGTGGGGGGGTGGTCTCGATTCTTGAAAGAATTATGCCTGGATTTTACCTTGAGATGACAAGTTCAGGAGGGAGTCGCAAGGACTGACAGTAAACAAGAATGCTGGTGATAAACAAGCTATTTTCTATAATTTTGTTTGAGATTTTCTAATTTTTTTTTTTAAAGTAAAACTAGCTGGGCAATGGTGGTGCACACCTTTAATCCCAGCACTCAGGAGGCAGACGGAAGCAGATGGGTCTGCATGAGATGGAGGCCAACCTGGTCTACAGAACAAGTTCTAGGACAGCCAGGGCTGTTACACAGAGACCCCTGTCTCAAAAAAACAACAAAACTAACAAACAAAAAGACAAACAAGCCCATATATTTTTGTCTCCACTTTTGTGAAATATATTAGTAAAAAATCAGTGAAGCAATTATTCTTTGCCTGGTAGTTATTTTTATTTAATGAACAGGTATTTTGTTGAGGACTGGTACAAGCCTCTCAACTTTGAATACTTAATAATTATGGGGCACTGGTAATTCTAGAATTTAGTTTATTCATTTGAATTGTAGAAAGTGTAATATCAACCTTGTATATAATACACTGGTTTACTCACCCCCAAATAGATACATATTATTGCCTTAACTGTAAGTCGGCATATCACATAGCACTTAATAAACAAATCTGGCTTCTCCCATCACTCTGTCTACCAAACTGATCTTCGCAAGGTCAGCATATCCTCCATGAAGCCAAGCCCAGTTGCCTTCGGTACATATTTACTGTATGGAACTCTCAGCATCATTTGTTCTTATTTAGCATGCATGTTGAAGTCTTCTTTAGTTCCTTTGACAGTGTGCTCCAGTTGCTCTCTTCTCTCTCTGACCACATCTCTTTTCTTGGCCCACCCTCCATCCAGCTTTTAAATGTGGTTGCACTCCACACACACATGGAGTCCTGAAGTCCAGCTCCAGCAGGGTTCTTGTGCCAGAGGATGGATGTGTGAATTCGGTGACAGACTCTTTCAAACTCATGGCCCCAACTAGCTGCGGCCATCTCTGTTTTTTTATACAAGTTCTAATGCATTCAAACATGAGCAGCTTCAAATCATTTCTCTTTCCCAAGAACCATTAACATTTATTCATTTTAGTTTCTCTTCTTTTTTCCTACTCCCTTGACATCATTGACTTTTACCCCATATCATTATAATACAAGCCAAATGCTTTTATCCAGCTAGGTACGTCTTATTCATACTGTGCCCTAGCTGGCAGCAAACATGCGGTTATAAAGAGATTTAAGCCCCATGATTAGTTCTTAACAATATGAAATCAGCTGAGGGTATTGCAATGCCTAGGATATCATTTTCAGGTGTATACCAATTCCTAAGGGATCTGTATGTCACCTTTATTATGTGCTGTACATTTATAATTCTATTCTTTATAAGTTCTTAAAATAGTCATGATTAGTACTTAACTCTTTAACTGTTGGGACTAAATTTCTATTCTTCCTGGCAATTTCTGCACGTACTTTCCACTTAAGGGAACTGGGAGTTTTAGATTCCTTTATTGATATATTAGAAACATAGCTAAGCGTTCATGTCCTGGTGCCAGAGAAATGTCTGACCTTTCATGTTCCTACGAGTTTTTAAGGTCATCTTTTAAGAAACTGTTTTCCGAGTTCTTAAGCTCTTTGGAGTATATTTATCCGGTTTTGGAATTGAATAAGCAATGATTTGGAAATGAATAAGCCTTAGTGAGTTCTTTCTGCTTACTCTGGACACAAGGCAACTGGAGAAACCGGTTTCTGTAACACACCAGAGCTTTGGTTCCCAGTAAACCCAGGCACAATCGTGGCTAATAAAGCAAAGCTAAGAGTTACCATAGTGAAAGCTACAGAGGCCCGAAGCCCATGAGTTCCCTAGGATCAGCGCAGGATTTTGCCCTATTGTTTCCATAGGTCCTTGTCAAGTGGACGGGACTCTCCAAAGAGCCATGTCCTCTAGTCTAACAAGCTCCATTTGCAAAACACTTGTGCGCCATTCCCAGGAGTGACAGCATGGCTTCCGCCACGGTTGTTCTCCAAAATCCAGCTTTATACCTTAGTCTGACTTTAAACTCTCCTTTGTGCGATGCTGTCTGTTCCTACTGCAAATTCTTACCAGTAACCAAAAGCCCCATCCAGTTACCCTCTTGGCATACCCATTTGACTTGTATATCTAAAGGATACGTTGAATCGAATATAAAAGGCCAACGTAGGAATGAATACTTATTCTCATTAAAGCTGAAAGCCTTGGGATGATTCTGAAATCTCTTCATTTCTTTCTTGTTTTGTTTTTTGAGACAGAGGTTCTCTGTGTAACCATTCTGGCTGTTCTGGAATTCACTCTGTAGACTAGGCTGGCCTCCAATTCACTGAGATTTGCATGTCTGTGCCTCCCAAATGCTAGGATTAAATGTTTGCCTCACCACTACCCGGCTAAAAACTCTTCTTTTCAATAAAATTCAATGCCATGGCTTGTAAGACCTACTCTCTAAATATTTTTCAAAGTATCCACTTATTTCCGTTTTCATAAGATCCATTTATATTATTTTAATTAGGTGTAGGTGTGTGTGTTTGTATGTAGGTATGCGCATGTGCATGCAGGCACCTGCAGCAGCCAAAGGTGTCCTATACCCTGGAGCTGGAGCTACAGCTACAGGCTGCTGAGAGTTACCTGATGCTTGTGCTGGGAACCAACCCCTGGTTCTCAGAACAGTAGCTGTTCTGAACCATGGAGCCATCTCTCTAGCTTCCCCTTCTTTCCATCTTTACTGCATCAAATAAACCTGGCTTCACCACCTGAAGCCTGGACCTAACCTCCTTACTTGCCTTGTTTTTCCTCCCAACTCAGTCAAGGCAATACAAACAGACTGAATCATTAAAACAATGGTCTGAAGGTTAGGGATATAGCCCAGCTGCTAGAGTGCCTGCCGAGCATGCGTCAAAGACAGCAGCAACCACATGAACCAGCCTTGGTGTCTATGCCTGTTAACTGCAACACTTGGGAGCTGATGGAGAGGGGACCAGAAGTGAAAGGTCATCCTCAGTTCGGTAGCAAATCGGAGCCCAACTGTAAAACGCAAGACCTTGGGCCGGGCGGTGGTGGCGCAGGCCTTTAATCCCAACACTCAGGAGGCAGAGGCAGGCAGTTCAAGACCAGCCTGGTCTACAAGAGCTAGTTCCAGAACAGGCTCCAAAGCTACAGAGAAACCCGGGCTCAAAAAAACCAAAAACAAACAAACAAACAAAAAACCCCAACAACAACAACAACAAACACAAGACCTTGCCTCAAATAAATGAACTACCATTCTTGAGGCTGGAGAAATGGTTCAGGGGTTAAAAGCACTGGCTGCTCTTACAGAGAACCTGGGTTCAGTTCTCAGCACCCACAAGGGACAGCTCACAGTTGTCTGAAATTTTAGTCCTGTGGGGGAATCCAATGCCTCCATGGACTCTGCACACACATGGCACACAGACAAATAAGCAGGGAAAATATCTATACACATAAAAATGAAAGTAAAACAAAACTTTCTAAGCAAATTATGATTACAACCTTTAATCTTTCCGCTGTTCTGAAAGACTAACATCCGAAAGCTCTGGACCAGGTCTCGATGATCTGGCCGACAGTCCACATCCATGGACAGCATCCCATAGCCTCCATCCCATGCCCTCCACCTCAGTGATGGACGGCATCCCATGCCCTCCACCTCAGTGATGGACGGCATCCCATGCCCTCCACCTCAGTGATGGACGGCATCTCATGTCCTCTGCCTCAGTGGTGGACGGCATCCCACACCCTCCATCCCATGCCCTCCGCCTCAGTGGTGGACGGCATCCCACACCCTCCATCCCATGCCCTCCGCCTCAGTGCTCCCTCATCTCAGCCACATCTCAGTAAGTCCTTCATATGACAATGTTTCGTGCTCTTCCTCGTCTTTGGCTTTTACATCTGGTCCTGACTCAGTTCTGGAAAATCTGCCACAACCCACTCACCTTCAGTCAACGCCTACTTACCTTTTAGAACCTATCACAAATGTCACTCAAAAAGCATAAAAAAATTCCTTCATAACTAGACCAAGATAAAATTTGCAGTATGCACCTACATAAAAATTTAAAGATTTTTATTTGTGTGTGTATGTGTGTGTGTTGCTGATGATGGAAGTCAGGGCCTCTTAGCAAACTAAGCATACACTCTCCCACTTGATCTGTAATCCCCTGCCTCAAACTCAAAACCATATAGCAAATATACAATGTACATAATTCAGCTTTGTTATCATGGAAGCATTAGAGAAAAAAACGGTTCAAAGTGTTCTTCCAGGAAAAAAATGTACAAAATGTTGAGCATTCTATAAATATTTAAATTTTTATAGATTCATAATTTTTCCTTAGAAAATATGTTTTTCAATAGAATACTGAAATATAAAATAGATCAATCTTAAGATTTTATCTTAAAAAAATCATCTTTCACTATAAGATAGATTTTAGAGATCCCAGGAGACAAAAAAATATGGCAGGAAACCCATAGGCAGAACACTTAGCACCCAAGTTAAAAAGAGCAAAGTTTAAGTGATAATGCTTAATTTAAAAAAATCATAAAATTATAACATAGAGCATCTATGCAATCACCTAATGAATAAAAGAAAATGCTTATAATAAGACCAAATTTAAAAGTCAAAATGAAAATTTGTATAATGTAATCCTAATTGGTCCTATTAAATAAAAACCTGAAGTCAGATATTAGGGGGTGAAAGCCAAAAGATCAGAGAAGCAGAGCAGCCAGCCACTAGAGTTCTTACCTCTTCAAATGCTCAAACCCAATAGGCAAGGTCCTGCCTCTACAGATCCCCAGACTGGATTCTCTGAGCTCCTGTCTCCTCCCGCCTTATACTCCTCTCTCTGCCCAGCCATCGCTCCTGTCTCCATCTCCCTAGTGCTGAGATTAAAAGTGTGGGATCCCCAGTGCTGGGATCGAAGATGTGAGCTCTGTTTTTCTTTTAGACTGATCTGATCTTGAGTAGCCTAGAGAGGCCTTGAACTCACAGAAATCTGTCTGCCTGCTTCCAGGAGTGCTGGGATTAAAGGTGTGCACCACCACCGCCCAGCCTCTACGGCTAGTTAGTGTGGCTAGTTCTGCACTCTGATCCTCAGGGAAGCTTTATCTGTTATCAAATATCACCAGAAACTTGTTTTTCATAAGAGGATTTAAGTTACATGTATTTATAAGCATTAGATAGCTTTAATATAAGCCTTTGATTCTGGTACTCTTTGGGAAAAGCTGAAGATATTATTTTTTTTAAATATTTATTTATTATGTATACAATATTCTGTCTGCATGTATGCCTGGAAGCCAGAAGAGGGCACCAGACCTCATTACAGATGGTTGTGAGCCACCATGTGGTTGCTGGGAATTGAACTCAGGACCTTTAAAAGAGCAGGCAATGCTCTTAACCTCTGAGCCATCTCTCCAGCCCCAAGATATTATTTTTTAACTTAGAAAAAATTCTTTACAAAAATTTTACCTTTTTTGAAATGGTAAGTCTTCACTTAGTAAGTCTACCACTTCAAAAGGTTTCGTTCATGAAATTTTGTATGAGAAATAAAATTAATTAAAAGGCTTCATTGATTGCTTTTCTATCTCTAACAAAAAATGTAAGGTTTAAAATTTCTCCTACACATATGTGATTTAGTGATTTGATAATACATTATCTTCTCTTTGTAATTCAAAGAAATACTTAACCAGATATTGCAATAACAAAGTGATGGTAAAACTTAAAAATGTATTAATATTCAGGGCAATACAAGTAACCCCCATTTCCACTGGCAAAAGACAACAGGAAAGAGAAGTTTTACAAGTTTTCTCTCCAAAACAGAGGCCGACGGAGAAGCTGTCTGTCTCTGCTAGAGCACAGATCATGGACCACGGTCCCTGTCCGCTGTGGGCAGTTAGTCACCTCCACTGTTCTCTCGGCCCACTTGGTAGGCGCGAAGCTGTTCTACAAAGCCCGAATTCGGACATATGGATGGCCTTGCACTTTTCACCAACGACAAAGCTCTGGTGAACTCCATTTCTTCAAAAGTCATCAGGAAGCCGATGACAATGGCAGCAGCCCTGGAAACCCCTGCGTTACAGTGAACGAGGACCACGCCGTCCTGCAATGACAGCAAACAAAATTCACATTATTCACCTGAGAAAGGTCATTAAATTAATTACACATTCTTAGCAGACTCAAAACTGTCAAGTAAATAATTCATCTTGTCTATCTATATCACAGAATAAATTTCACTGCAGAAAACGAGGACAAATTTATCATCTAACACCTGCTTTCCCCCAGGACTGAAAGGCTCTGATAATGTGGTTGGAATTCTCAAATGGCATCTTCTACAGGCCTCAAGTGACCCAGCCAAGTACAGAGAAAAACCTAGCAACTTACCAGCATCTGTATAGAAATAACTGGTGTCCCTGGCTTGGAAATCTATGTACAAAATCATTGGTGCTGTGGGGCCTGTGATTCCGAAGGAAGTAAATTAAAAAAAGTCTTAACCAATCAGCTAGTAAATGATGGCATGGGAAAGGTAATTATATCCCAGATGTGAGCTCCATAAATAGAGAACTCCTCAGGTAATTCGTAAGTGATACTTTACAAGTGAAGTGGACACAGTGCAGGGTGGATGCCGGTTTGGGCAAGATTGCATTAATGATGAATGTAATCAATCTGAGGGACCAACTTGGCAGACTGCGGGCTTTTAAAAAGTTAATGATCTATAGTGAACGGAGCACACAGCACAGAATCAAACATTTCAGCAACCTCATTTCTCCACTAGTCATCTGGTACAGCAGGAAAGGGACAGGAGGGACCATATGACTAGAAACCCTAGCTCCCAAGCTCACTTACACTACTGCTGGCATGGGCCGTTTGACTATTTCAGGCTTGCCAGGCAGCCTCCCCACATCTGTGGACCTGTGATGAAAATACTGCCTTGATCCACTGTATCAAACCTGCAAGGGCATCTCTTTTCAAGAATGGTTAGCAACAAAATTAATATTTTGAAATTCCTCACATCAACAAGTCTGTGTCAACTGTCTGATTCACTTTTGAGCTTTGCTTCCACACAGGAAAAGTAAAATAACACCCACCGTATACATCTACACATCAGGAACTTGTCCCACTTTTTAAAAATTATCTTTATTTTTAAAAATTATGTGTGTGTGCACACACATGTGGGTAGAGACCCCATGGAGGCCAGAAGAGTGTGTCCCATCCCCTGGAGCTGCAGTTACACATGTGAGCTGCCAGGGTACTGGGAACTAACTGGTCCTCCAGGAGTAAGAGCTCTTGTGTGCTGGGCCATCTCTCCAGCCCCTCTCATTTTGTTCTTTGTGGGTTTTCTTCTGCATTTGCAGTACTAATAGTTATAGTACTATAGAGCTATAAAATTCATAGCTCTGCACACACTAGGCAAGTTCTCTATCACCAGCCTTTTCTTTTCATTTTAAGACAGGTTCTCACTAAGTAGCCCCGGGCGGTTCTAGACTCACCCGGTACTTCAGTCTTCCTGCCTCAACCTAATTTGTTCTTCCACTTTGTACCAACAGTTAGTTTTGTTTTTAAGGATAGGGTTCTTCTGTGTACTATTGGCTGTCCTGGAACTTGCTCTGTAGACCAGGCTGATCTCGAACTCATAGAGATCTATCTGCCTCTGTCTAAGTGCTGGGATGAAAGATGTGAGTCATCACTTAACAGTTAATTTTTTATGACTTAAAATGTTTAAAAGTTATATTACAACAACTTGAAAGTTACTAATGAATATTACTTAGTTCAAAACAATCTCCAGATCTCAACCAATTTTTAAAAATTTTAAAATTTCAATATTTTTCTTTCACTATTTTAAATAACTACTTTTCTTCTTTATAAATTTATTTATGTGTATGTATGTCCACCTTGTCAGAAGAAGACGTTAGAGTCTGTGCTGGCTGGTGTTATGTCAACTTGGCACAAGCCAGAGCTATCTGAAAGGAGGTAACTTCAATTGAGAAAATGCCTTCATAAGATCCAGCTATAAGGCATTTTCTTAATTAGTGATTGATGTGGGGGGGACTAACCCATTGTGGGTGGTGCCATTCCCTGGGCTGGTAGTCCTGAATTTTATAAGAAAGCAGGCTGAGTCAGCCATGACGAGCAAACCAGTAAGCAGAACCCCTCCATGTCCTCTGCATCAGCTCCTGTCTCTAGGTTCCTTCCCTGAGTTCCTGTCCTGACTTTCTTCAGAGATGAACAGATATGGAAGTGTAAAACAATCCTTTTCCTCCCTAATCTGCTGTTTTGTTTTTGTTTTGTTTTGTTTTGTTTGTTTGTTTTGGTCATGATGTTTTGTTATAATAGAAACCCTAAGACAGGTTCCCTGGAACTGGAGTTACAGTCGGTTATGAGCTATACTATATCGGGAAAAGAGTCTGGGTCCTCTGCAGAAACAAGAACTCTCTCTCAATGGCTAAACCTGGTCTCCAGCCTCTGTAACATTCCATCAGGGAGTGCAGAGCGATTAATGAAGTCTTAACCCTACTTGAAGAGCTACAGACAGTCAACAGGTGCTAGGGTAGGGAGAGTCAGGTTTCTCCAGAAGTGTGGTCTCTGGTAGGGTGACCATGCTCCAGCGGATGCCCCATGCCCAGTGTATATGGGCAGCAATAATTAAACTCAATGAGTTATTTAAAAGAGAGAGAGAGAGAAAGAGCATGAATTTGAGAGGGGGATGTGGGAGGATCTTAGAGGAGGTAGAGGGAGACAGTGGGGGAGGACTGGTGTAGGATTAAAATACATTGTATCCATGTATAAAATCCTCAAAGAAAAAATTTTAAATATATTAAAAATCAAATATAATAAAATACTTCCAATTTTTTGGAGAGTCAGACTGTGACAATTCCTGAAGAAAGATAATCTCCTTATCATGCCGAGATCTCCCAGCAACCGTCTGTAGCACAGGTCACTTGGACAACACTCATGCCTATCCAGTATGGTGCTGTGCTTTGAAGATGGTTTGAGCATGGCCCCTAGAGGCTCATGGTATCAAAGTTTGGGCTCATGCTGTGAGGTTAGGAGGTGGTGGGACTAGGGGACGGACTCCTGCAAGGGATGTGCTCCTAGTCCCAGAGTCCCCATGGGACTCCTGACTAGTTCTTGGGGGAAAGAGACTACTACATAAGCTGTATCCACCAACCTGCCTGGGCATCTGCTATTGCTACCATAGACAGGTCTATGAGTGTGAATCCTCTGATACTATTCCTTATCAAAAATGATTATACATTCCATCATACATAAAAACTAAAAGAATTAATTGGTGATGGAGGTGGGTCTTGTATCTTATCTGTTGCTTTCATTGGTTAATAATAAAGAAACTGCCTCAGCCCTCATAGGACAAAAAATTAGGTAGGTGGAGTAAACAAAAGAGAATGCTGGGAAAAAGAAGCTGAGTAGAGGAGTCGCCATGATTCTCCCACTCCAGACAGATGCAGGTTAAGATCCTCCCTGGTAAGCCACCTCGTGGGCTACACAGAATATTAGAAATGGGTTAGAACAATATGTAAGAGCTAGCCAATAAGAAACTGGAACTAGCCGGGCCAGACAATGTTTAAAAAAATACAGTTTCCGTGTAATTATTTCGGGCATAAGCCTGCCATGTGGGCGGCCGGGTGCCGGGGACGCAGCCCTGCCTCCGCTCCTACTTCTACAAATTGGAAAAATATAAACTTAATTACAATTAAAATATAAAACAGAATTACTTATTGAGAGAAAAAAATATCATTTCAGGGTACAACTTTAGGTAATAGCCATCCTAGAAGTCCTGTCTGTCAGAACATTGGTATAAATCGAACTTAATATTGAAGTAATATCTTGTGTTGGTCTTCTTAAGTCACAAAACCAGCAGATAGTTTCAGATTAGGATTTCATATCGTCTCAGCACAACAACATGCATTCTGTCTTAAAATCCTATGCTTCAAAATGCATAGGGGCCAGAGATACAGCTCAGCTTGTAGAGTACTTGCTTGGCACAAACGAGGCCCCAGGTTCCATGCCCAGTCCGGCATAAAAAAAGACACGGTAACGCACATCTCCAAGTCTAGTGTGGGGGTGGTAGAGGCAGGAAAACCAGAAGTTCAAGATCATCCTTGGCTGCACAGCAAGTTTGAGACTTCACCTAAGCTCCATTACCCTGCCTCAATCAATCAGTAAATAACTTTTTATAGGCACAGCTACACAATCTCTGCGCCTTAGTCATGAGAATGAATGAATATTCATCGCCAAGAATCCGCTGACAAGACTAGAGCAGACTGTACCCTTTGGTCCATCTGGCTTCTGACAAATCTGTCAGGATGTGTATAGGTGCTAATACAGCCTCAGAGGATATTTAACTATATATTTACACAGGAAAATTCAGAAGCAGAGGGAGTTTGTATCCCAGTGTTTCTTGGTAAGAACGCAGAAGAAACAAAGCTAAATTAATATGAAAAATAAACTTCTCATTAATAAAAAAAAAAAAACAACAATTGTTGGGCAGTGGTGGCACATGCCTTTAATCACAGCACTCGGGAGACAGAGGCAGGTGGATATCTGTGAGTTCGAGGTCTACAAGAGCTAGTCCTAGGACAGACACCAAAGCTACAGAGAAACACTGTCTCGAAAAACCAAAAAACAAACAAGAAACAAACAAACAACAACAACAAAAACCAATTAGAGAACCAAAAATACTGAAGGATTTGATGAGTATTACTAGAGGGAAATCTTCACAATGGTCCTTTCACAAATTCAGTAAAACATACAAAAACCGGACGGTGGTCCCCTAGCTCTGAAGAACTATATCAAAATAAAACTCACCTTCAGTTTTGCTTGCTCAATAAACTGAAAACATTCTGGAAAATAGGACAGGATATTGGTTTCAGGAACATCCAGTATAGAAATGGTCTTATATGTAAACTCAGTAAGGAAGGCATTTTCTACTCCATAAGCAACATTGAGAATATGGGTCACCTTAAAGGGAAGAACAGAGATGGTTTTTAAGTTCTGTGAATTAGATGATCCAGAAACAGACCGGAATTGTAAGTTCCGGAATATGAATAATGAACACATAACGACTCACTGACTGGTACATGTTCTCTGCCTCATCCCTCAGCAACAATGCTCTTAAATAATACATGCATGAAGCTTCTGTTGTACTCCGACTCCTTGGAGACTGCCATCCGCCCTGCACTAGAAGCACTGTGAAAATTCAGACCAGGTTGAACTTAATGATCCTAAGAACTGAGTGAACAAGGACCTCACCAGAAAGTACTTAAAATATCTACTAGGGAAAAAACACCTCAGTGAATATTATTGTGGTATATTATTTGTTTTAGTAAGTAAACTTGTCTGAAGATCAGAGGGCAAAAAACCAAGACAAGAACCTCAGTGGTTTTTGTTTGTTTGGTTTGGTTTTCTATTGCAATGAACCACAGGCATTTATGGGGCTTATGAAAGGGACCCAGCCAAAAAGGTTCTTTTTTAAGAAAGCCTACCTCTACCACCCAGTGAGAGAAGTGTTGACTGATGCTGGCCTTGGGATAGTATGAATCCCTTTATCCTTACTTCGTATTTACCAGGCATGCAGCTTGTCACAGGCCTCTTACTTAGGCATTATTATTTCCACTACAAATCAAAATGTGTTTCTGTCCCTGAAACGAAAGCGCTGTAAGGAGGAAGATGAAAAGGTTTGCTTTCATCGCGTCTCCACGGCGTCTTTCCTACTCTCGCAACAACCACGCTCACTGCGCGTTTTCTCTCATATTCTTTTGAGGTTTCTTTATGCAAATTTTACTTATTGATCTAAGCACTCGACCAGCCAACTAAGCAGTCAGCCAGCAGTAGCTGAGAGCTCACCACAATCTGATCCACAAGTTGCAGGCAGGGGGAGGGGGGTGAGACTGTGCCTGGCATGGGCTTTGGAAACCTCAAAGGCCACCCCTAGTGAGACACCTCCTCCAACAGGGCCACAGCTCCTAATCCTTCCTACACAGTCCACCAACTAGGAACTTTCCTCTCCCCATAACCAACCAATCGTGAGGATTTTGACTTTCTCAGGATACCTCAAACCCACCACTTCTCTCTACCCCTCTGCATTCGAATCTAAGCGAGTCTCAGCTTCCCCGAGATAAATGAAGTAACTCCACAGTTGGTCTCTCCATCTCTAGCTCAATTCTGTTTACCACACTGCTTCTAATGAGAAATCTCTTTAAAGTGCACCTTTAATCCTGATATTTCACTGCGCAAATGTGTCACTGGCTTTCACCACGTTTTGGATCGTGTCTAAACAACGACGGCACTGGGTCACACTTGCCTCTCTTGCTCATATCTTGGTACCCTTTGTTCTCACACTATCTTCTGATCTCCACCTCTGTCCCGGCAAGCATCAACCTTTCTTTTCTCTGGCTTGGGGCTGTCTACACACACTATCTCTTCTATCTGAATCCTCTTACGTCTGTTCCTTCCTCACCCCCCTCAGAGAGAAATTCAAGATTCCCTCCTCCAAGAAGCTTTTCCTGAGTCCCCAAGTCTCAAACCAAACCAAACAAACCAGGGGCATCATCACTCTGTACTTCCCGACTGAACCGTACACTATATCATTCTATAGAGTTTTTTTGTTTTCTTTGGGTCCATTCTGAGCATAAGCTTCAAGCGAACAGGAACCTCATGTGCTCCTCAAACCACTCAACACGAACTGAAACTGTGCTTGACATGTTAGCAAACAGCTAACAGTTACTTCGAGGAAAATACTGAAAGCAAGCAACAAATCCAATCAGTTGTGTGAAGGGAGCAGGTAAGAAGCAGTATTAGCGGAGGCTGGTGTATGAACTGGGACTCGGGAATGGGTGGGTCTTTGACAAGCAGAGGTGAGACAAGTCTGCCCCATACGGAACTGCTCACACATAGGCAGGAAAGATGTGCTTCCAGGGTCAAGTGCATGGGTTGTGTGAAGGGACCTGAGAAGAACGTGAAATAGGAAAGTTGAATTACACAGCTGTGTATGTAAAGCAGGTGCGATTATTGTCAGTGCTATTAAAATCGGAGCCCAAATTGCACAGATGAGAGGAATCATGCCAAAGTTGGAGCAATACAGTCTTTCCCATGGGATGGGAGAACGGCCATCTCCCCGGATGTAGTCCTAGACCTGAAGCATCCGTCGCTGCATTTACCTTGTACTTCCTCAGTAGCTCCAGATCATGAGCGGCATCCTGTGACCCTGAGGAAATAAATCATACGATCCTGAATACAAACACCACCATTCTGAATCTTCACACAAATTTTATGTAAGGATTCTCTAAAAAACACAACAGCGTGGGGAAAAAAAAAATCAATGAGGGAGAATATCAGTTTAATTTTTTAGAAAGGAAATTTGGTAATATTCACCATGAAAAGTTAACTTTTGTATCCATCTATGGACTTTCACATTTTGAATAATTTATACTAAAATTATAGATGTTGCGGTGATATTAACACATAACGTATAAGAACAAAACCAGGTGGTGCACACCTTTAATCCCAGCACTCGGGAGGCAGAGGCAGGCGGATCTCTGGGAGTTCGAGGCCTGCCTAGTCTACAAGAGCTAGTTCCAAAACAGGCACCAAAGCTACAGAGAAACCAAACAAACAAACAAAACAAAACAAAACCAGCAAGCAAAACAAAACCAAGTCCAATGTAGGTGCTAAGATAAATAAAAGATGGTACAATTACATAGCGAAATCTGAATAGCAATATGTACCACTAGAAATAAAAATTAAAATAGGTAAAGCATGGGATACATATTCTCAGTATGTTAGGAAATAAATACGCGTTAGAGGGGCTTGGAAGACGGCTCAGTGGGTGAAGTACTTGCTAAAACAGGACCTGAGTTAGATCCCTACCACCCACATACAATCCAGGCATGGTGTGAAATGTACCATAAAAAAACAAAAACGTGTTTAAAATCAGAAAGTACATGGAACAAAACACTAAACGTGGGGTTATAGGTGATTTTTTTTCTTACATGAATTCTATTATTTACAATAAACATCTCTTTGTTTTATAAAAGAAGAAACGGTATTAAGAAAGTCAGACACCTGCAGAGTAAGCCCAGGCCAGCTGGCGAGGGAACACGCCTCCCACGTGGGTGGTCCACGGCTCCCACCCACACACTGTACACCCTGTACACCGCTAAGGCTGTGCCTCTCCCGGTCTCTTTCTGTTGAAGACGGCTCCCTACTCTCCAACACTTGGAGACATTCAGAGCAAATTCTTATCTGAGAATGGCCAGTTAGCACAGAGCAGGTTTCACAAATGCTCAAACGGGACATTTACAAGGAAGGATTTCAGGAATGTTACTTTCCTGTGACTCTGTTTCCGTACACAACACTTTCCCTGCCTCCCTTCCTTGTCTGAGGAATCGGCTTCCCTTACATGATTTCAGGTCACTGAGCATCCACAAGTCCACAGTGGGTCCCAGCTGGGAGGCTTCTTACTCAACACGCATTCTGCTTCTTTCTACTAGGAAGTTAGACTTCCAAAAGATGGGCATTGAACAGACGTAGATGGTGGGTACAGAAATTGTCTGTTCTCTCGTCTTTCTGTAATTTCCTGCCAGTTTGAAATACTTCACAATTAAAAGGTAATTCTCAGCTGTCAACTCTAGGAAGGCTTAACCATGTCGGGGATGGCAAACACGTTCAGATAAATTAGTTTTAATTTACTATTTAGTGAACATACCATCTTTTAACAAATTACTCTGATCTGTTTGTATTTTAAAATAGTAAACCTGCAACATGGCTTAAGTGAAATCCTTTCCTTTCTCGCCCTGTGCTTGCGGTATTGAGGTGTGTTGTACACCACTGCTGGGTCTCACTCTGCTGCTGACGCTGCCCTCCCTCTGTAGCCCAGGGAGCAGTGAACTATAGTTATTTTCCTGCCTCAGCTTCTGGAACAGTTACCACTGCAGCTAAGTAAAATTCTGGGTTTTAAAGTATTTACTTATTTATTCATTTACTTTTTATTTTATTTATTTATT